ATGCCAGCAAATAAAAGTGTTATTACGGGCAGATGTCCCCGTTTTCTTAGTTTCTGTGAAGTTCTTGTCATCTGCATAACATACAGATAAAATCTCTTGTCAACATCAGTGCTCTCTGTTAGAACTCTTGGAATTGTGGCAGTGTTGCCTTATTTCTTCAGAGGAAAAGCATTCCACCAGACAAGAGATGTTGCCAACCGCAGTCTCTTTGTCAGAATTTATTTGACCAGCCAATGGATGAAGCTGATTAAAAATCTACTTCACCAGTGTGAAGATTTATTTGCCACTTTGCATTTTTAATTTTATATGCATCTTGAGTCTTGTATATTGAATTTGCCTGTTATTCTGAACTGAGTGTTCACCAGATTGTTTTTGTTTTGTAGCTCTCTATAGAAATTCTATATAGATGATCAGATTACACCATTTTTCTGTGCATCTGTGTGTTTTTCACACAATATGTCTGTGTGTAAACCAGAACAGAAAGTTCAGATTATTCAAATGGCACCGAACAAAATGGTAGAGGCAGTCCAGCAGGCAGCAACGTGAGCTGGGGCATCACACAGCCAGGTGCTCTCTATGATCTAGAATGCTTATATTCACTTTTTGTTTTCAGATTTTCAGCTGATAACTTGTACGTTTACTTACTGTGGTTTCTTACAATGTAAATAGAGTCATCTGTAACCTACTGTAAGATTCTGAATTCCTGCAGTGTCTGTTTAACTTATCTTCTTCATGGTAACCTGAAAGGCAGCATTCAGTCTGAAATCAAGGCACAGATTCTGCAGAGGATTTTGAGTCAAGCTCAGCAAGGCTGTTTTAAACATGTGAATCTGGAATTCCTGCTGACAGCAAAGAAAAGTGTAGATACTTGTTATTTCTCTGAGCTATAGAATAAGAAAGCAGGTTTGGCAGTTTATGTATTTCCTTTTTTCCCCTTTTTTACGGTAAGGAAGAAGTATATTTTGACATATTAATGGTTTGAGTTAATATATCTCAAAATATAAATTACTTGCTTTGTTTTATAGGAAGAAGTTCCTCTAGATGTATCCATTTTTTGTCATTTAGATAGTCCTCAGATATTTGCATTTAAAACTTGAGATAATTTAGAAATCTTGATCTTTTTATAAAGACATGGGGGCAGAGGACCCACTTCTGTGAGGAAACACTTTAAGCCAGTAAAGAACATTTATGCAGGTACTGAATTGATTTAGTATACCAGCTGTGTGTGGCTTCAGATTCTTGCTGCCATTCTCTAGTGAAGTATACACAGTCAGATGCTTATCATCTGGCTCTTGAACAGAAAAGAAATCATGGATGCTACTCTTCCAAAGATTTCGGTTGCCAATAAAAAGAACTGAGTGTAGTAACTTCATTCATTCTTATGGCAGCTGTCCCACTGTTTCATCGGTTTGAGGGATGTAAATTAACATTTTGAAATTATTCCTTGTAGAACAATATAACAGGAACTGAGCAGAAGCGTGTAAACATTGAACTGATTTGAAATGTAAATATCCAAAATAAAGTGGTAATTTGTTAAACTAAAAGGATTACAGATAACTGTCCAAAAAAGATACTGGAAGCTAGAAACACAAAAAATAAGGACATCAGTCTTCTTTACCTTGCTTGACAAGGACACAAATCCACATTGATAAAGGTAGATAGGGAGGTTAAATGAACTTTCTTTATTGGCCATTTTAATTTCGAAAGCATATAAAGCTGAACAAATATTAGATTGTTGTTATTTAATTGAATGGGATTCTGGTTTCATTTCATTTTCATGTCAACTGTGATTTGTTTTCCTTTTTTCATTATCTGCTCACAGAACTACTTTTAAAATTATTCATAGCTCTGATTTAGAGTGACTAAAGTGAGACCATACAAGATCTTTTTCAGACTCTGTTGTGCATTCTTGCAGCTCTTAGCAAAGTAGTGTAATTTTTCTGGCCTGAGGCGAATTGTCAGAGGATTATGTATCATGCACTAATACTAGAGAAGTTACTGTGCATTACTTAATTAAAAAGCCAACTTTTAGACATCTCAGTCTGTACGTTTTTGAAGATCAGTAGCATCAAGGACTCTATCTGTAAGCTGATTTAAGAACAAGATGTTAGATTTTAATTGCCTGACATTTTTAACCGCAGCTTCCTATCCAACTCCACTTTGGTCCACCTGTTCTGATCTTCTTAGATCAGATGTTGTCGATGTTGTGTGGAGCCTTCCATTTCAAGCAGGAGCCACCACTGAAGCAGGTAGCCTCAGGAAAGAGAATGAAACAGTTACGAAAAAGGGAGTGCTGTCTGAATTCACAAAAATCTTAGTGTTTAAGCAGCAGCTAGACTGGTTGTTTTTGCTGCCAGGAGCACAACATACACTGCTCTGAGGTACAAGGAGTATCAGGAGAAGGAAAGTGTGATGTTTCTTGTCATGGTTTAGTTTGTTGCATTTTGAACAGGAGCTCAAAATGTAAAGGGTAATTTTTGGGATATCCATTTTTCGCGACACCATAAATTTCTTTTTCTGGAGGTGGTTGCAAGTTTTCTTATGTCAAGACAAAGCATTCTATATCACACAACTGTGTTAGATGTGTAACCTTAACAACAGCTGAAGCTGTTTAAAATAAACTGCAGTTAAAAGGTTCAGGTATGTTTGATAAAAGATGCAGAACATGGAATGGACTTTATCATTATCACATATCTTTATCCGTATAATCTGAATGCTGTGCAATAAAGCCAGAGTCAGCATCAGTAACTATAATTGTGCTGTTGAGGTAAGGTAAATGGCATTGGTAAGATTCTCTTTAGAAGTTTGGTCTTTTACCAGTTAAGATCCACTTACATTTCATCAGTACTACAGATGTACTTGGACCTCTGAATAATTTAACACCTGAACATACTTGTTATTGTTCGAGAAAAAGCCTTGTAAAGCTTGATGAATTGAGTGAGAGTTCAAAGTGATATGAAGTCCTGCGGGGTATGTTTGTGTCTGAAATCTTCCTGCTCTGTCAGATACTTAAAAGGTGGAAGAAAAAAAACTGCAGAAAAGTCAATATACAAAAATGGGAATGGTTGCTTGGGGGAGTGTAAAAAAAAAAAAAAAAAAAAATCTAGAAAAGAGAACAAAGAAATGGACATACAGAATTTCTCCTTGCCACTCTCTAAGGACTCTGCCACACTTCACTGCTGTTCTCCCTGCTGTTCCCACTCTCCTCCTAAGCACCAGTATTGGACTCCAAGAAATTCTACAGAAGTTCATTGTTCTAATAATACTGCTTAGAAATCAGTGTAGTACAAAGGAGAATAGGAGAACTTTTGAATCAGTTTCTAATTTAAAAAAAAAAAAAAAAAGCATGTTACGGATGTAAGTGTATGTAATTTAGTGGACTGCACAAAGAGTGGAATCTATCATACTTATTTTTTAAAATCTCTTATGAGTTTATTGCTGCCAGGAGGACAACATACACTGCTCTGAGGTACAAGGGTTACACTGAAATCTAGTCAACTGATAATTTATTGATCCCGTGTTTTCTTCATATTTCACTTTGTGTGATTGTTGGAAATGCCATCGAGTTTTGCTTTCTGCCAAGGCATGTAGGTGAATCACAGTTCCGTGTTCATGCTCTGTTGGTGGTGGTATATATATATTGTTTATGATTTATGTGTAAGTTGGTGATTTATAGATTCATTTGATGATGTGAAAAAAGTATTTCTGTAGAGATTGCTCCTAGAGATTCAGTCAGCTACTTTCTTGCAGTGAGAAATAAACATCATTTATCTCGAGAAGTTCATTTCATAAAGCATTTTGTAAGCCTAAGTGAAAACGAAATAGGCCTTAGCAAGAACTACCCATTTTCCAAATAGGAAAGGAAGAGAAGACCTAATTAACTGCATGTTGCAGATGCAAGTGGGTTTGGCATTTATACTCCAGCAAATGAAACAGCCCTCTTCAATGAACAAGGGGAGTGGTGTTATGCTGAAAACACCTAACAGATGCATTTGCATGTATTTTGTGCGTGTAAAAATTGCTATCCCATTCTGTCCCCAAAATAATGTTATAATTAAGTATGTGTTAGAATCAATTTCCTCCTCGTAACTTAGTCTTCTAATGTGTTGTTACTGGCCTGGAACACTACAATTGATGGGTTGTATGGATCTAGTGAAGAGTTAGGTTTTGATCTTGAATACTGAGTACTGTTGTCTTGGTATAATTTACAAATAGTTGAGTTCTATTAAATTTAATACCAAAATCTGCTGCACATCTTTCTTTTTTGACAAAAAAATAAAATGCTTATTAAAAGGAATTTTCAGTTGCTACTATCAGTATTCTTTCAATAATGTAAAAACTGCTGCCTCATAAACAGGTGTTAGGGGTGCATTTCAGTAAAACTTAAATTTCACAGTTTTCTAATAAATTAATCCATTATGTTTTGGTTACAGTGAGTGTTCTTAAAGTTTAGAATGATTTTTATTTATTAATTTATTTTTTACCTCAATGAGCAACAATCTTTTGGGTTTAAAAAAAAAAAAAAAAAAAAAGTGGGAATTGTTCTGTGGTCTGTTGGTGTCCATAGCAGGGGAGTTGGGTCCAGATGATCTTTTAAGATCACTTTCAACCCAGGCCATTCTGTGATGACTGTAGATGTCTTTTATGTCTTTTAATGCGGTTTTGAATGGATTCTCATATCATTGGTACTGGAGGACTGTTTACTTTTTTGGTTTATTTAAATAAGAGCAGTTTTGAGTAAATTACAGGTGAGAGATTAAAACTGTTTCAGGAGACATAGTTTCCTATAACTTTGTAGTTCTCCATGCATGTAACTGAAATGATGGTTTACTGCTTTGAGTATTTTGTCTGTCTAAGCACTTATTAAAATTAATTGCTACGAGTTTTGTGTAAAGCTTTCAAAAGTTTCTGATTTCTGTGTTGTATTTGCATTAATCATCACAGTAGCAGTTATTTATTGGAAAAGTGAAACTTCTGTAAACACTTCAATTTCTTCCTAGGTAAAAGAAGAGGAGCAATCAGCCAATCACACTTTGATGATTCAGGAGACTCTGCAGCAGGCCTCAGTGGAGCTGTCTGAACAGCATCACCTCGTAGTCTCATCAGATGAAGTGGAGGGAATTGAGACAGTGACTGTCTACACACAGGGTGGAGAAGCTTCAGAATTCATAGTTTATGTTCAGGAAGCGATGCAGTCTGTAGAAGAACAGCCTGTGGAGCAATCTGTGCAGGAGCTCTAAAGAATGGTATTTAAATGGGATGGCTACTTATTTGCCAAAGCCAAAACTTGTATTTCTTTTCCTAACACAAGCAAAAACAAGCAAGCAGACAGATTTTTGGTTAATTTGTGAGGTAGAACCTTTTTACAGATATGGCTGGTTGGACTGTATCAGTAACTTTCAGTACAAAACTACCTTGGACTTTTTCCTTTTTTTCCCTGGAAAAAGTTCCTACTGTGAGGAAAAAAATTATTCTTCCCCATCTAAGATCTCATATCATTCCTGTAAATCTTCAAAATACTGTTTTCTCAAAATTGTTGTATACCACAAAAAAAAAAAAAAAAAAAAAACATCAAAACAACAAATTGTCTAGAAAAGTCCCTCCATCCCTCCTTATAGATACTAAGTTTGCGCTTGACTTCAATGGAAACAGGGTTTTTCGGTGTTTTTTTGTTTGTTTGTTTTTGTTTTAGGAAAAATTAGTAGGACTTTTTATTCTGAATATATGCTTAGAATGCGTGCGCAGATTTGTAGACCTAACTCATTCAAAGACTCAAGATTTAGAAATATACCACAGATATATTTTAATTTGTATTTGTGAGTTGATTGTTTGGGAGCTATTTAAAGCCATATATGATAATTCTAGGTACCAGTTATTTTTTAGATACTTGGATAATGATAACTCTTTCCATCCCACTGAATAAAGAACTGTTCAGTACTATATGATGAAACCAAATGTTTGTCAACTCAATGTATTCTGTTTTTTAAAAAAATATATTCAGATTATTTGTAAATGCTATAAAATGTCTGTTCATATATTTTAAAAAGATATTTGTAAATATGGCTGTGTGAAAGAACTTGTACAAAAAATAAGTAAATACTGACAAAAATTTAGATATTCTTAATTATAAATGTATATAGTTCCAGATTTTTCTTTGTGAATTTGAATTGTTTGATTTAATATTTTTAAACTTGAGCTATAAAAGTTACTAATTAATAATAAAATTGTCATGTTTTCATTTAATGCACTAATTACTTAAGTGTTTACTTCCTTTTCACAGCTAATTAAAGAATGCTTTTTTTGTACAATTCTGGCAAATTATTTGTCCAGTAGTAGTTTCTAATCAGGAAAGTAATGTAATGAAGCTTGTAGGAATTATCTATGTAACTGAACTTATTTATGGGCATTCTGAGTGAAGAAGTAGAGAAAAGCTTTTAAATACATTCATGTAATGTATTGAGTTTGTTGTCTACTTCTTGTGAATCTGTTTTTTTACACGTCATACAAAATTAAAGTGCAAACATTTTGTGGTAGATTCTCCCTTGACTCTGGTGATGTGGTGATAGGGAATTTAAACTTGTTAGTGGAAAACAACTAACCAAATATTTCAAAATTAAGCAACGCAAAAATAATTCAACTTCAGTGGTTGCTACATTTCTTCTGCTTAAGTCTTGAAAGTGTGTAAGGTGTACCAGGGATGTTAGATTTGCAGGACAGATATATATATATATTGCCAATTACTGTAACTAGCTGGGACTGGTTACATGTCAGTGTTGACTTCAGCAAATTTGATTAGATGAAAAGTGTTCAGTAACAATTGTAATGTAGAAAATGATACACCACATATGCCAACTTGATTAATCTGCAAAAGAAACTTGTTTTTGTAAGTTAAAATGCAGTGTTGAATTGCAAAAATAAGTCTATTATCTGAAAGAGAATAAAACAATCTTGAAAGGTTTTCTTAGAATTTATTGAAATTAGCCAATTTGTAATTAATTCACATTTGGAAGAGCATCTTGATCATATGCAGTAACAGCTATGTTTTTGTTGTAAAACTTATGAATCAGTTCAGCAATGTATTATCTGACTGGGGGGAGGGAGAATGTAAAAGTATTTTGGTTCATACCATTCAAAAATTCTGAAATAAATTATTTCCAGATAGATTCAGTAATTCTCCTTATGTGAAATATGTCAGTATTTGGAGAAAAGGGTTTATTTTTCTTATTTTTCTCATTTTAATTCTAGTATGTCATAGCCATGCATGCCAACTGAAATTTAAGGCTTGATTTGCCTTTTGTTAAATAGGACTAGAAGGACCATACTTCCTGATGTAGTGAAGTTTCTTCCTCCAGAACATTGTACTAAATTTTATGAGTTCTATTTCAGATAAATTCAGATGTGAATATAGGTAGTAGAATTTCCAATTATAAAGCATAAAAATGTGTTAATTTCTATAACCTTTTTATTTAAGAAATAATTTTCAGGTGCTTTCATAGATGCTATTATTATTATTTTCCCCAAATCTGCTTAGAAGTGCAGTGGTTGGAAGCCAGCATTGGAACAGACTGCCCACAGAAGTGATGGAGTCACCATAACTGGAGGTATTTTAGGATGTGTAGATGTGGCACTAAGGGACAGGATTTAGTGGCAGACTTAGCAGCGTAAGGAGATGGTTGAACATAGATGATCTTGAAGGTTTTTTCCAATCTAGATCTTCATATGATTCTAAGACAGGAGATATTTTGGGCTGTGTTGAGCACTGTGTCTTGATTTATTATCTCCATAATTATTACATTTTCATATTTTTAGAATATGCAACAACTGTAATATTCCTGAGGAGGTAAGTGCTTCCTCTTTAATGTAGGTCACGTCAAAAGATTTGTCTGTCTTTCAGAAGCAAGTTACTGAAAGAAGGAAAATAGAACTTTGTTTATACCAGTCACTTGTTCTGAGAGGCCCCAGATGTTCAGTTGACTTCTGTTTGGATTTGAAACTACCAAGAAGGTAAGAATCAGCTCTTTTGCTTGGGAAGGTCTATTTCTGTTTATCACCTAAGCAGCAGAGATTCTTTACAGTGTAGACTGTCTTAATAAATTTCTTTAAATAGAACATTATCTATTATTTAAATAGAATAGAATGATCTTCTAAAGTTACAAAGTTCTGACTTCACATACAGAATCTTGATGCTTCAGTGTAGAATTTAGTCTTGCTGAAAGGCAATTAAACATCCTTTTACATTTCTTTATGTCCTATCACAGATTGGGTGTGTGCTCAACAAATATAAAACAAACAAACCAAAAAACCCCCACCAACTTGCATGTCAAGAATAAGCAAGTACCATGAGCACAGTAGGGAAGAAAGAGAGTAGCAGAAATTATATTGCAGATATTCAGTGATTCAAAGAAATGTTTTGAACTCTATGTGGACAGAGAATTTGGTATGGAAGGGAACTTTCTGGTGCTGTACTTAACTGCAGAATCAGAATTTGATTTTTGGATTGAGCTCCTCCTGCTTGCCTACAGAGGAGGTTTATAATTTGCTGCACCACTTGTTGAAGCTTCAGTGAGGTTAATGAAGATATGAAAACTGACCCCGTGAGGAAATTTAAGTACTCAGCCATTCTGAAAATCAATTTCTTAGAATAAAAGCACATTGAAAATTTAAGATTGACCAATTCAGCAGAACTTTTTTTCAAATTTACATCATTCGTGGAGGCAGGAGGTGGTCTATCAAAGTCTTATGCTTGAAAGCTGTAAAGCCCTATTTAAATGTCAAGTCTTATTTCTGTAAGAACAATGAGGTTCAGCTGAGGTCAGTGCAACTAGTATTGAGTTGAAAAGAATGTTGACTTTTGTTTTGCAGTTCTTTTCATCTGAAAATAATGATTGCTATCAGAGTGCACATAGTGAAGCAGAGTAGAACAGATGCTGTACACAAAATCACAGTGATTGTTTTTATTTTATGTTTATTTTGTTGATGCCACATTGCAGTTCCAGCTTTTTGGAGATACATTTGAGCTGTATCTGAAATGTTAAATGGGGAAGGATGTGAGTTCATTTACAGACCTTATCACTGGTAAAAATGTGCTTTCTTTAGGTAATGCTAATATTACAGCCTTTGCTCATAACTTGACAAACTGCAGATGTTCTTTTCCCTTTTATAATCTGATCACAGTGAGGTTACTGAGTTGTACTGTACATGGCTTGACATCTTCTCAATTTACATTTCCATCTTTTACATTGTTAGCAGACATCATTTCCATCAGTAGTCCTACTCTTTGTCCTTTCTTTCCTCCTTGTAGCGAGAACTTTTCATCTCGGGAGATCTTCACGTGCACTTGGTCATAATTATATTTTGGCACATCCTGAGAGCATCAAACTTATGACATTAATATGTAGTATCATATTCATCTCTGGCTTAATTCGTAAGGTACAGGTAATTAGTTGTATGATCTTTCATGCGTCCCTGTTCTCAACTTACCTGTGCTGGGCTGTGGTAGTTACAAGCAGTACCACACATTTCAAAGGACAGGTGAAGTTACAGAGCTGTTGTTGTACGTTCCCAACAAAATCCTCTGTTCAGGTTTGTTGTATTCTCCACAGTTTACATGGATGAGGCATGAAGCAACACATGTTCCTCTATTGCTAAACAGTAATGGATGAATTGCTCTCTTCATATGCAAAGATAATTCCTTTCAGTCCTGCGTGAAGCAGAATGTCTTTCTCGTGGATCACCTGCGAGTAAGGCAGCTGACCTCAAAGGTTGCTCTTCTACCTCAAGATTTCTAGGCTTTAATAACAGCAAAGGAGAACAAAATGATGTAAGACCTGTACATTTTTTATTCAGGGCTGCACCTCACAAGGATGCTTTTGAGAGTAGTAATTGATGAGATGGACGTTGATGGAATCTTAAATAAGATTAAGATTGCAACTTCTATTTTTTAATTCTTAAGCCACTTATTCTTCATTTCAATCCAGTGCAGGACTTGAAATGAGTAGTGCTTGCCAATAAAATATGAAAACAGAAAATAAACAGCTCTGACAATGCTATGAATGACCTATTCTGTTAAAATATTGTTACAGTCATCTTTGCTAAATCTGGACGAAGGAGGGAAATTATAATCAAAACATTGCACAGAGGTCAGCCTGATTTATCAAACGCTGTGAATTTTTTCTGAAAAGCTGGAAATAACTTCATCAGCCTCGGTAAATTAAAAAGGTTGAAAAGATCTTTAGTGCTTTGGAATGAAATCAAACAGGAGAAATTTGTAGAAGCTTTGTTATGATTTCTTCAGTTCAAAAAATATTATCTTCAGGAAAATAAGGAGTCATTTTATGTCTTGCATCCAAATGAAATACCATGTAAGTGTATTTTACAGGAATATGCAAGATATATGACACTGAACAATCTACTGCATCCACTGTATTCTTTATGGGCAAGCAAAGAATTAAAGGACAAAATATTGTGGTAGATTATAGAGCTAGTCAGTATTTTTACAATTTGTTTTGGAAATGGTTTCCCTTTTTGATTAGTCTTGAGACCATTTATTTTGCTACTAATATTAGGAGT